CTTCAAGGTCTGGGCTTAGGCCCCTGGACCCCCAACCTACCCTGGCTACCCTGCCTGGACCGGCAGCTTCAAGGATGCTTCTTTCCGGAAGGCTTTTTCCCTCCTGGCCACCCCAAATGAGGACACACTTCATTCAGCTTGGCTTGGGTCCGGCGGACTCTCACCCACTGCCCTCAACTGCACCTTGTAGACAACCTCGGCTGCCTCCCGGCGGTGGCCCGCCTGCTCCTTCCCCAGCGCGAACTTCCCGACTCCAGACGCAGCGCGCTGCAGCCGGATCCCTGCCCCTCCACCGCACACTTTTTTGGAGCCACGCCTGCGTACTTCCCACCTCCCCAACTCGTCCGGGTCGGGCTCGGGTTAGCCCAGGGCAGGAACACCCCCGGGGTGGTAGAGACCCGCTCAGGTAGGCCCTGGCACTGCGGCCTGGGGCTCCTTGACTTCCGAGAGCTGGAGTCGGGCCTCTAACCCCTGACCTTAAGGAGCCGCGTTTGTAAGCATTTGTACTGAACAGGGCTCAGCATCCCGCCGCGGAGAAGGAGCGGGGTTCTACTGGGCCCCAGGCGCAATCTTGGGGGTCAGGAGTTGTCTTCATGGCCCCTGGGAATTTTCGGGGTTCTTAACAGGGTGAGCCACCTGGTCGCAACGGGAGCCGCCAGTTTCCCCTACGGGCGTTTGCCACCGGACATTTTGGTGTCTCCCCACTGTCCCTTAGGCAACTTCTTCTTCTAGGGGTGTAAAAAATTATTCCCAGAAACACGGCACTTCCCAGAGGTGGGAGCATTTAACTGGCCTGGAGGTTACTTTTTGCGTGACTCACGCGTGTATGAAGTTGTCAGGTGCTTGTGCTGGGCGGAAGCCTGTTGTTGCTTTTCAAAGGAATGGTCTTGCAACTCTTCAGAGTGGGGTACAAAGATTTCTATACAGTGTGTCTTCTACAGAATTCTAGCTCCTCCGCCCGGCGCGGGCTTTTCCGCCCTCTAGTCTAGCGTGAAAACGGCTCGGCCGCTGGATGTGGTGCGCGAAGCCCGCACCCTACAGCGTGGTCCGTCCGCCCCGAGAAAGGAGCCCCAGCGAGCGCCGCCGCGGCCGTCTCTGGCCTCCTCCGGAACCGCGCAGACCTGGGCGCACGCCGAAAAGCAGTTCCTGTATCCCTTCGAACTCGGGAATCGCGGAACGAATAGAAGCACAGGTTTTGACCTGCTTTTGTAGTCGACTCGGAGGGGCCGAACTCACCAGGCACCCGGACAGATACTTTCACGGTAGGAATAATGCAGATATATCAGGGAAAGTGCCAGGGACAGCCGCCCCGCAAATGTCCGAGGAGGAGTAGGTTCTATGTTCGCTCTTCCTCTTAAGCTCTTGGGAGGACAAGGAAGGCCCTTTGGCCCGGCCAGACTGATCAGGGACATATGTGAAGGTGTCTGTCTTCTGGACACTGTGGGGGGGAGGGTCGGGGGAGCGATAGGGAAAAGCAAGAAGCAAACGCAGGGGAACATGTCACCACCGCCGGGGTCAGTACTCTGGAAGAATTGCCGGGAACCCCCTGCAAAGCACTGGCTTCTCCAACGTATGGCCCTGCTTTCTCTCCCTCTGTAAGTAAAATGTGAATTACAGACTTACTGCCACCCAGACACTATTTCTCCCTAAATCTAGCCCGTGGTTCTCACTGGGATCCGCGTTTTCTTCCCTCCTCTCGCTCCTCACTGTCAGGCCATGTTACAAAGCAGCCAGGCAGGGCCTGGCAAAGTTTTAGATTGAGACCTCCTGGCTAAGACCTGCCTGGCGACCTCGACAGCCTCAGACTCGGCCCAGCAGAAGCGGGTTTAAGCCACGGAGTTCAGGTAACTTCCAGGTCTATACTATGCGTGCTGCGCATTTGGGAAACCTCCCTTCCTTCTTTCCTATGCCGTACCCAGTTCACAGAAAAGGGGCAGAGAGAACATGATGGAATGCAAGGTTGACACTGTCCCCCTGCATCTGTCCCATCCTTAGAATGGCCTGCAAAACTAGTCATGTTTAGCGGTCCCGGTATTCAAGGGAGTGCGTGTGGCTAAAAGATCCCCGTAGAGATCCGGGTTCCAGACTGTGCCAAGCCGGGCCGGAACCCTGTTTTGCGTGTCCGGGCAAAGTAGCGCGGTCGCAATATGCACTCCGCATAGCCCGTGTTGTGCGTGACGGGCTGTCGCGGCGATGTGAAGCTCACTGACACTGATGGATGCGCCAATGGTTGGACGGACAGATGTTGGGGCGGATTGCACTCCGCGCGGCACCTGAGCTGGGGAGGGCTAGGCAGCGGTCAGGCGGTGGCTGCCGGCGGCGCGGAGACGGGAGCTCAGGCCGCGGCCGGCAGGGGGAGGGGGCGGAGGCAACTGAGGTTGGGAGAGCAGCGCGAAGAAGGAAAGAAGGAGTGGGGAGCACAAGCCAGGGCGAAACTCTCAGCCTTCCGTGCGCGGCGCCCAGCGCCGTGCACTCACCACAACCGGCGGGCCTAAGTGGGCGCTCGGCGCGTGGAAGGTGAGCCGGGGGCTGGCAGGAGCTGACCTCCCGCGGCGCCTACCCTCCTTCAGGCAAGTGGTGCTCTGTGCCGCAACCAGAATCCTGAGGCCACGGGCGGCGTCTGCCAACTCACCGTTTTCTCGTTCGCAAAAAGCGTTTCACGCCCTACGGCCGCGTCTCCCGGGCCTGGAGGGACAGTCGTTTTGGCCTCTGCGGCCGCAGGCACCAACTGCACGCCGCGCCCCCGCCCCCGACTCTGCCTCACAAGGCCAGCCTCCGAGCCCAGCCTCCACTCGACTCCGACTTCCCGCAACCACCCGGGGTCCGCATCCCGCAACTCCGAGCGCTCTTGCGCGCGCCAAGACGCAGGAGACGTCTTTATAGCCCGGGAGGACGGCGGCGGCACATCTGCATTCAGGGAAGCGTCTGGACCCAGCCCAAGCTCTTAGGCTGGGGGCGAGCGGAGACTTTTGATCTTACCGTCAGGGTGAGATCACGGTCTCCTAGTCTAAAAGAGAAAGCATGCCTGTGAACTTTTAAAACAAACTTGCAAAAACAATCACAAAGAAAAAATAAAGAAAAGAGGGGGCAGAAGAAGAGGGAGAGACTAAAAAAGAAACATAAGGTGGGGGGGGGGCGGGGAAGGAAGGAAGAAGGCCAGGGTTTGCAGCTCCCGGAGCTCTCAGGCAGCCAGTCCCAGGGCACTGGGCTCCGGCCCTCGCCGGGACTCTCGGACGCTGGGCCCAGGAAACTCCCTGGGCCCCAGCGGCGCGCCCAGGAGCAGCACCGCCTCGGGGGCAGTAGGCCTGGCGGCAGCCCCCGCATTCCCGCCAACGCCGCCCGGCAGCGCCCGGAGCCGGCCCCGCCGATGCCGCCCCATTCCCGGCCCAAGAGCTGGCCTAGGGAGACGCAATCGAGCCCGCAGCGCATCGATGCGCCGCCGCCCGCGCCTCTCCGGCTCCCGCTCAGTCGGCGCCGCTGGGGGGTCGTCCCAGTGAGCTCCGGCCCACCAGCGCCCTAGCGGCCGCCCGTGAGCCCGCTTTACCCCGCGGCCAACGCAGCCCTGCCAGCTCCTCCTCTCCACGGCCCGCCGGCCCGGCCCGCCGCGAGTCTCAGCGATCCCAATCACCCAATCAATAATCAATTCTGTTTGCTCAGTACTGCTGGCTGGCCGGGCGCAAGGCGCGGTGGCCCCTCTCGGGGCGCCCCGGGGCGAGGGATGGGCTTGGGTGCCCGAGTTCCTGACCCCGTCGCCGTCCCGCCCTGGGATCTGCCTGCGCCGGTGGTGGGGGGCGCGCCCCGGCGCCTAGGTGGCGAGGGGCGGGGTGGAGGTACCCTGATCTTCCCAGTCAGGAGAGGAAACTTGGAGGCACCCCCTCCCACACCAACCCCCGGGACAGCCCGGGAAAGTTTGCCCGGAAAAAAAAAATTGGGGGAAGTGGCTGCGGCGGGTCCCGGGGGAGGAGCCCTGGTGGCGCGGGGTCTGAGAGCAGCCCCCACCCACTCGGGCCCGCGCCCACTTCCTCCCCCGAGGGCGCCGGCGCCCACCCGCGGGCCCTGCCATCCCCGGGGGTGCGCGGGCCCAGGCCCGGGGGTCCGAGCTGGGGGCTTTGGACGCGGCGTGTGGAGAGAAGTGCGGCCCGGGAGGGGCATCGGGGGACGGCCAGGGGGCGAGGCTGGGTGGGGAAGAGGGGCGGGCGGGAGTAGCTAGCGGCCCGGGACGGGCTCGGCCGGGCCGGCGCCGCGTCCCTGCTTGCGCGCACGGGGCGGAGGCGGAGGGGCGGCACCCCCTCCCCGGACTGGGCGGGGGTCCTAGACAGGCCGGGAGCGGGGGCGCGGCGCCCCCGCGGGCGGGCGAGTGACACGATCATCTCCTTTTCCTTTAAGCTTGCCTGTTGCCGACGCCGCCGCTCCAGCCGCGCAGCGGGCATAAGACTGGACCGCCGAGCCCCGGGCCGCGGCGGCGGCGGCTGGGCGCCCCCTCCGATGCCGTGACCCCCTGCCCGGGGGCGGGGGCCGGGGCTTCACCGGCCCAGGCCGCTCCCGCGCTCCTCCTCCCACCCCTCTGCCCGCCTTCTCCCCCTCTCCCCGCCCCCCGGCCCTGAACCCCGCGCACCTCGTCTGGGGACGGGGCGGGGGGGGGCAGGGCCGCCGCTCCTCCCCGCCCCCTCCTCCTCCGGCCTCTGGAGCGATTTGTCAAACTTCCCAGTCCGCCGGCAGCGCGGTCCTCCTCCTCCTCCTCCTCCTTCACCACCTCCTCCTCCTCTGCCTCCTCCTCCCCCCGCGCTCCTCCCTCCCCGCGCCTCCCTCTCCCGCCCTCCTTCTTCCCTCCGCACGTTCGGGGATCGCGGCGGAGCGCGGAGCGGGGGGGACGCGGAGAGCCGGGGCTCAGCAGCATCCTGCGGGCGGCCGCTCTCCGGGGGGGAGGCTGAGAGCCGGCCCGCCTCGCCCCCCCGCGGGCCCGCCGCCCCTCCCTCCCTCTCCTCAGCCCGGCAGCGGCGGCGGCGGCAGCGGCAGTCGCCGGAGGAGCATCATGCCGAGGAGGAAGCAGCAGGCGCCCCGGCGCGCAGCAGGTACGAGCCGCTTCCCCTTCCTCCTCTCCTCCGCCTCCTCTTCCTCTCCTCGCCCCGCGTCTCCAGCCGGCGGCGACCCCGCTTCTTGCCCCGCTCCTCGTCCGTCTCGCTCTGGCCGCGCAGAGTAACTCCGGGGCGCCGGGCTCGCTCGCCGCTCTCCTGTCTGGTGCGTGCGCCCGCCTCACGGACCGGCGCCCCCCGGACGCCCCGCTGCGCTCTGCAACCCCCCCCCCCGCCCCTTCCCGCTCGCACCCACTTCGGGAACCGTGCTCGCTCGCGGCGAACTGAGCCGGGCTGGGTCCCTGCCTCCTCAGCTCTCTGCCTGGCCGCGAAGAGAATGGGAAGGAGCCCTCTTCTGTCTCTTTCTGTGGGGGCGGGCGGGGTCACCTGAGTTCTCCGGGACACCTTCCGTGTCCTCCCGCGGCCGGCCGGCGGGGGACTGCCTGGTGTCTCTGCCGAGCGAAAGAGAGCGAGCGAGTGAGCGAGCGGGTCCCTTCGGCCACCTTACTGCTAATCCGATTGATTCTTCATTTATTGGGCCCAAACCGGGCACAGCGGTGGAAAGCAGAGCGCACAGGGTCTGGGTATTGTCAGATGACTGTCAAGTCGATGTTAGATGCTGGCGTTCCCTTTTCCCCGGTTTGTTTTCGCTCACCCCCACCCTCCTTCCACTGCTTCTCCTATCCTCATCTCCTCATAGCACTTAGTTCTGGGACGTGTCAGAGTACTTTCTCCCCATCACCCCCCGCCTCTTTTTTTTTTTTTTTTCCCCGGGATTTCTAATCCTTTTTAAACTGGGCCGGGTTTTTTTTTTTTTTTTTTTTCTGGAAAAAGCATTGAAAGCAAAACAAAACCCACACACATAACATTATTTTGCAATAATGTCAGTTGGGGGCATGTTGCTTGGAAGAAGGGTTTCTGGCCCTTTGCCACCCTTGATTTGATGACTGATTGATTGCCCATCATGCTGCTGCCTTTGATCTATTCATTCCCAATAAACATCAATAAATCACTTGAAATGGTGAGGCCAAGCTCTGTGACGTCACTAGGGCCCTGTCAGTGCAACTTCTGGGATTTGGGGCGGATTGCTGAGAGGACCACATATGGACAGGATGTATTTTGATATGAGTAACACTCAGATGTGCTGAGGTTCAGATGCTGCCTGAAGGGGAGGGTTAAGTGGAGGTTCGTTTCTTTTCTTTCCTTTTTTTTTTTCCTTCTCTTCCTTTCTTTTTTGTTCTTTGCTTTTGTGGAAGAAGGGAGGGGAGGGAGAAGGGTCAGGGCATTGCCTGGTGCCCTTTTTGGATGAAAGTATGGTACCCGTGTTGCCCCGGAGTGCCTGTAGTAGCAGTGGGGGTGATGGTGATGGTCATTTCTGTCACTTCAGCTGGCACTGCTGGTAGAGCTCACACACCGGCTGCATCTGAACTTGAGTCTTCTCACACAGGATCACAGGGAGGAAATGCTGTTCTTTCTTCTCCCAAAAATGTACTGTCCTGTTAGTGTCCTAAGAAAATCGTAGAAGAAAACAGACTTGGTTTGGGGCATATATTACAAATTTTGCTTTCTGTCCTCAGGGTTACCCAAATTTAGAAAGTTTGAAAATCCCAGTAGTGGTTGTAGGGAGGGTGCTGCCTCTCAAGTCACCTCCTGGCTGGTGCTTCTTGCCTATCCCATCTTCTACTTTAAATTCCAAGCTCAAGCAATGAGCTTATCTACCCAAAATAAACTCTCAAAGTTTGGAGGACTCCTTCACAAAGTTGGGCAGTAGGAGTGTCTTGGACTGCTTCCAGTCTTTGGGATTTTTTTCTTTCCTTTTTGGATGCACATTTGAAGGTATCTGTATGCCTCAATCAAATGAACCATATGTGACTGCATCTTTACATTTGGTTTAGAATCCTCTCCGCCTTTGCTTCATCTTTTCTCTTCCACCTTGCCAATCTGAGACTCTTATTTGATAAATTTCTGCTAAAAATAGTAGAGGAGGAGGAAATGTGCTGTTGGTTTTATTTATCTATTTTTTTAAAGCAACCTGTTCACTGACCTTTTTGCACCTTTTAAAAAGCCAGCCAGGAAATCTCAGGTCAGTTAAGAAATATTCATTATATAAAAACTTGACTGCACTACTAATAGGAGCTGGAAGAATGGTTTTGCTCTATCAAAATGACCCGTCAAAACGACTTTGTTTCATATTTGATTTAATTGTCTCTCTCCTGACAGGCACATTCATCAATAGCTTAATGGTCAATCAGAAGTTGGCAGCATGAGTGCTTTTTTTCTTTCTCATACCCGGGTTTTGGATTTACTTTATCAGAATGCCTCTGCCTAATGGACGTGTGGAGGAGGGGGGGAATGTCTGAAGGGCTACTTATTTAGGAGAGTGGAGGAATAAAAAAAACCTTCCACATCCAGGCTGGTGATAAGTATTGCACAGGCCAATAAGTGTGCTGTGTGAGTTTGTTTGTTTATTTGGATGGACAAGAAACTTCCCATTTTTTTCTCCTTTTTTCAGTTCTCCTAGCTGCAAGTTATAAGGTTCATGCCTGCGTTTGTGGCATACTGGGAGTGATGACAAATTGATTGCTTTGTACTGATAGAGAGTGGGGAAAAAGAAAGGTGTCTGCTGATTGGTAACTGGAAATCCATCCCCCAGCAACCTTGAGGAGACGGGAGAATTTTTCCCCCCTCCAAACTGAAAGGTCCGCTCAGCCATAAAAAAAGAAAAGTTGTTTTGCCAGCTTCATTAGTGTTCACCTAATTAGCTGTAAACCTGATGGATTCCTGACAGCTTTAATGATTGGAGATGACAAGCTCGACGCAGTGTCATCCAGCAGAATTAGGTTTGCAGCTAGTTTGATGTAATCAAGTTGATATTACACAGTCCTGGCTGCCTTTAGTTGTGCATTAACTCAATTTTCTGCTGCAGGTGACAAATGGGCTTTGGTACCTGGATAATCATGTCATAGGAATTAGGGCCCTTTTAATGGTCTGGGGGTAGAATAACAACCACAAAGGGCTGAGAGCTGGGGAGAGCGTGCGGACATAGCACACAGGTGCACACAGTTTTTACATCTAGGCCAAATGTAACACTGTTCTCCAGAAGGCCAAAGCAGGCTCCAAGAATCCCTGAAAAGACGTATTTCTGCCCTTTAGGATTTCTCTGTTTTTGATAGAAATTATGCATGGCTTAGTGTCTTTTCTTAAAGGGGAGAGAGAAATTTCTTCACCTGCTGAAGAGAAACCTGGGCAGGAGTTTCCTTTCTCCAGGCATGTAATTTTAAAGGGCTATACATTTGTGCTGGACAAAAGCTATTGCCTGTAGAAGTTCAGAGGAGCGGGGTTACAGAGGCCCCTGTCCTTTGGGCAAAACGACCATTTTCCCACTCTCCTATGTGTAGCATTTGTTTTTCAACAAGTATTTTTTGATAATACCGGAAAAGAAAGTCAAGCAGTACTTAATAGCAGATCACGTTTTATTCTTTCCTGTTCATTTTCTGGAAGGAAGTGTAAAATCATTAAAAGCCATTGCCTAAACTCCACCCTCCCCTCAAAAAAAAAAAAAACAATCCAACAAACGACAACTTGCCACTGACCTTTTGAGTCTTATTTGGTGAAAGAGAATAACCTTCCATGGAGTTCTTAGGTGGTCCCACTGCAAAGGTAAACCTTCAAGCATCTTGACTTCTGTCAAAGTGGTTTGGAGCCCTTAGGACCTGCTGGGGTAACAGATCACTGTGGGTCCCCAAGGAATAGGATAAGCTCATGGTGACACAGCCTGGGGGTTTTTACTTTGCCGGTAGACACAGGCAAACTAAAAGATGGCACACCTGGCAGTGTCCAAGTAACACCATCCCAACCTTCCTAAGTCTCGTCCACATACCAGGCAGCTCCAGAGAGGAGCTTTTCTCTCTTGGAAGTACATGGAGCATTCAGGAAGGCATTTAGGCATCAGCCTTGGGAATTTATTTGCTCTCAAACCTGCCACACGTCTCTCCTTTGGACAGACGTTCTACCCTGTAGCAAGGTGACAAAATGACCGGTTTTGGTCGCTCTGTGATTCCCCGCACCCCTTTTCCTACAAAATGAAAGGAGCAATGTAAATTCTAAAAAAAGAGAAATCAAGAAGCTGAAGGGGAAAAACAAAGAGGGCAGGAGGCAAGGCTATTCCCCTGGACATCCACACAGGGGAGAGAAGCTTCCCGAATCAGCTGCTGTGCCCCCATTATCTTGACAACTGTCAGTTAGGGCTTCAGTGCTCTCCAGGGCCACCCTTGATTGTGAGCAGTTGATGTTGTCATTTGGTTCTCAGTTTTGCCTTGAGCGTGCTCGTAAACAGGAGCCAGGTAGTCAATAACTAATGTATCAGCAGTTATTCCCCAAATTGCCTCACAAGTCTGCATTTTTCCTCTTTTTTTTTTAACTAAAGATTGTTTTGTAAACTGATGAGAATGAAAGGTGACTGCTCAGGGCCGGGGGAAATGCCGTGAAACCCAGGTGAGTTCCCAGAATGAAAACCCTTCGTTTCCCTGCCCTCCCCTTCTGGGTTTCTGGAGAGAGAAGGGTCACCTTCTTGAGGGCGAAGCGCCTGGCCCTTTTTGGGGGCCTTTGTCTTTCCCTGGTGTCTGGCAGAGCCAGGCCGGGGCGAGGGCTGTGGATGCAGGCGGGGAAGGAGCAGGGAGAGGATAGGGAGCCCTGGTCCTGGTGCCCCACAGCCATGTTTAATCCAGTAACAGGAGCAGGCCAGTTATGCCGAGTGTGGTTTGTGAGGCTTTCCTGCTGGCCCATTTTTATTCCTGCCTGTCACTGGACAAACTATAAAAATAGCTTTAGTCTTGTAGTAGAAAAAAAAAAAATAGGGTGTGTGTCTACTTTCTGTGTTTTTGTGCAGCCCAGGTACGTAGGCCTTTCAGAGAAGCTCTTTTGTAACACCCCTGTACCATCATCCTGCAGCCCGCGCAAGGAAATAGGACAGAACAACACAGTGGTATCACTCACCCCGG